AGGAGGTTCAGTCTCCTGGATCACGTTAGGTAGGGGTGTCTCTGTGATGGGGTCCTGTGGGGGGGATCCTGGGAAGGGGACACAGCGGGGGACGTCTCCTCGGAGGAACTCACCTCCATGGACTCTAAGGGAGATGCTAACAAATAATCTAGGAAGCTTAACCACTTGGATTAAACCGGAGGTGACAAGTCTCGGTGTCATCCTGGACTCAGATTTGAACTTCAACGCCCATTTAAACAAAGTGACCAAAATAGCTTTCTTTCATCTCAGAAACATAGCGAAGGTACGACCATTCATAAATCAAAATGATGCAGAGAAGCTAATTCATGCTTTTATATCTAGCCGACTAGACTACTGCAATGCACTATTCACTGGTCTCCCCAAGAACACGATGAAAAGACTCCAGCTCATTCAAAACTCTGCAGCTAGACTACTAAGGAATACCAAAAGGAGGGAACACATTAGTCCTGTCTTAGCTACTCTACACTGGCTTCCTGTCACTTTTAGAATTGATTTGAAGGAGCTTCTCCTCACATACAAAGCTCTAAATGGACAAGGTGTAAAAAGAAAAGATTTAAAAGAAGGTTTCAACCACAAATCATCATTTTGGTGTCAATTAAAGAGGACGTGTCTAGTTTTCAGGTTCATAGCTAGTGTGAATGCAGAGGATAAGGATTTCTATATAAAAGCCCCCCCCCACACACACAATACTAATACTACTACTACTACTACTACTACTACTACTACTACTACTTACAGTAAAAAACGACTTACTGTACATTCAACTATTAAATCAATCAGCTATCTCAGGACATTGAGGCTATACATTTACAGTGGAGGAAACAAGTATTTAACCTCCTTCAGATTTTGTAAGTTTACCAACTTATTTTACAACTAAAAGCTCTTTTCAAATGAAGAGCAGGTTGTAACCGAGGCTCTGTGTAGGTCAGAGTCTGAGCGCTGCTCCTCGTCCTGGAATGACTCAGAGTTTGATAAGCCCTCCCTCTCCTTCCTGCTCTCAGACACAGCCAGCTCCACTCTGTATTTCCTGGTTCCTCCCCTTCAGATCCACACTGAGGAGGAGGGGTGTAACCAACATGTGGTAAAGAACAAGAGCTGATAGGCCACATTCACCGCCCACACACATCCTGTTCAGATAACCTGTCACACTAGTTTCAGCTCTCAGGAAGTGAAACTCACACACTCGCTGCTACTGAGAGGGGAAATGGCGCAGAAAGGAGTTCAGCTGGAGCGGGAAACCTTAATATCTTGTCCCATCTGTCTGGATCTACTGAAGGATCCGGTGACCACTTCCTGTGGACACAGCTACTGCATGAAGTGTATTAAAGGCTTCTGGGACGGAGAGGATGAGAAGAAGATCCACAGCTGCCCTCAGTGTAGGCAGAGCTTCACACCGAGGCCTGTCCTGCTGAAGAACACCATGTTAGCAGCTTTAGTGGAGGAGCTGAAGAAGACTGGACCCCCACCTGCTCCTGCTGATCTCTGCTATGCTGGAGCTGAAGATGTGGCCTGTGATGTCTGCACTGGGAGGAAACTGAGAGCCTGTAAGTCCTGTCTGCAGTGTGTGGCCTCTTACTGTGACAAACACCTCCAGCCTCATTATGACGCAGCTCCATTAAAAAAACACAAGCTGGTGGAGCCCTCCAAGAAGCTCCAGGAGAACATCTGCTCTCGTCACGACGAGGTGATGAAGATGTTCTGCCGCACTGATCAGCAGTGTATCTGTTATCTCTGCTCTGTGGACGAACACAAAGACCACGACACGGTGTCAGCTGCAGCAGAGAGGACTGAGAGGCAGAGAGAGCTGGAGGGGAGTCGACTAAACATCCAGCAGAGAATCCAGGACGGAGAGAAGGAGGTGAAGCTGCTTCAGCAGGAGGTGGAGGCCGTCAATGGCTCTGCTGATAAGCAGTGGAGGACAGTGAGAAGATGTTCACTGAGCTGATCCGTCTCATGGGGAAAAGAAGCTCTGATGTGAAGCAGCAGGTCAGATCCCAGCAGAAGAGGGAAGTGAGTCGAGTCAAAGAGCTTCAGGAGAAGCTGGAGCAGGAGATCTCTGAGCTGAAGAGGAGAGACGCTGAGCTGAAGCTGCTGTCTCACACAGAGGATCACAACCAGTTTCTGCACAGCTACCCCTCACTGTCAGCCCTCAGTGAACCTACACACTCCTCCAGCACCAACATCCGTCCTCTGAGCTACTTTGAGGACGTGACGGCGGCCCTGTCAGCAGTCAGAGACAAACTACAGGACGTCCTGAGAGAGGAATGGACAAACGTCTCACCGACTGAGGTGGAGGTTTTACTGTCAGCAGCAGAGCCCACCACCAGAGCTGGGTTCTTCAAATATTCACAGGAGATCACTCTGGATCCAAACACAGCAAGCACACGACTGGTATTATCTGAGGGGAGCAGAAAAGCAGCACGCATGAAACAACAACAGTCTTATTCTAGTCACCCAGACAGATTCACTGCATGGTCTCAGGTCCTGAGTAGAGAGAGTCTGACTGGACGTTGTTACTGGGAGGTGGAGTGGAGAGGGAGAGGAGTTGATGTAGCAGTCGCATACAAGAATATCAGCAGAGCAGCAGGGGAAAGTGGATTTGGACTCAATGACAAATCTTGGTCCTTAGATTGTAACCAAAACAGTTATTCATTTCGTTACAACAGTATCAAAACTCCCGTCTCAGGTCCTCTGTCCTCCAGAGTAGGAGTGTACCTGGATCACAGAGCAGGTATTCTGTCCTTCTACAGCGTCTCTGAAACCATGACTCTCCTCCACAGAGTGCAGACCACATTCACTCAGCCGCTACATGCTGGAGTTCGGCCTTATTATTATGGAGACAGTGCTGAGTTTTGTAAACTCAAATAGCCTGAAGTCATTGGAGGAACTCTTCTACTTCTTAAAGTCACCGTGTGTCCATCAGAGCTGATTGTTCATGTCTTCACTGTGCAGAGATCAGCTGTCAATCAAACATGATGGGATGTGCTTCAACATCTCCTCATGAGTTGTTCTTTAAAGGTTGGACTTTCTTCCGGCTCCTTCCTGGGTCTGTGTAGCCATGGAGGCTGTCACTGCTCAGGAGGATCCTTGTTCACCTGAACTGATATGTAAACTTTGCTCTAAATATGTGTTGGATATTTCTTTTGATTCATGTTGTTGTTTCTCTTGTAATGCACGAGTCTTCAGAGAGAAAGCAGCAGAGCTTCTTTTATTCTACACATTTTATTCTGCCCACTTTCTAAAACAATAGAGGCATTTATAATCACATGTATTATTTTGACAGATTAAATGTTATTGTTGCCCAAATTAACTACAAATGAGTTCCCAGATGGTTATAACACTTATTTCATCATAAAATGTTTATTTAAAATGATATTACTTCCTGTCATGATCATAATCAATAAGTAAATCATTTATTATTCTCCTGTAAATAGCTTAGAGTCTTTGCTTGGGAAATAAAATGTTATTTTTTTGCAGACTAATTGTTGTTGTTGTTGTCCAAATAGAAAGTGGGTACTCTGATGTTTTATAGAACATAACTTATCATGATAATAATCAATAAGGAAATCATGTATGATTCTGTTTGAAATAGCTGAGATGAAACACATGGTGTGGATAAAGTGAAACTGATCATGAAATCATTGAACAGACTTTACTGATGGGATGTGTGATCAAATTAAATGTTTAGATCATTAATAAAGGTTTGTCTTTCAAAAACAAAAAGGATGTTCTTCTTGTGTTATGTCCAAGGTGCCATACGAAGCTGATGGAGAACATGTGGAAGTGATCTGAGACTAAATGAAGCTCAGCGCAAGTTCAACCAGGAAGACCGTCTTTACTCATTCATTTACTATTTACATGTTACTCTCTCTCTCCTCTCAATAAGTGATCAGGGGCGTCACTCCCCAGCTTAACCAATCACTTCGCTCTATTCCCAAGAGCCTATCATAGCACTCTGCTAACCCTTTTAAATCTGCTCCCCCCTCTGACAGCTGTCATTTCAGGTGACTCGACGCAACCCTCCTCCACCCTTTTCACCTCCTGTCCCTCTGAATCCTGGGTCAAGCTAAGCCCCTCCCCTTCAGACCGAACCCAACTATCCATTCACCACCATAGATATATATAAACACATGTTTATATATATCTATGTTCACCACCACCAGGGTCAAGCTAAGCCCCTCCCCTTCAGACCGAACCCAACTATCCGTTCACCACCACCAGGGTTTAGACCCCGTGGGGGTTCACCGGATCGGTTCTCCCCTCCCGAATGATACTCCTGCACAACGGGGCCTAATCACCAAAACTCCATCACATTCATTTGTGTATTCCTGGCAATAAATATGTATTCTTACATCAAAACCGTAGAGCAGGAGGAAGAGGAGGAGATGAAGACATTAGTGAAGAAGAATAAATGTATGTGAGGAATAAAGATGAAGTGTCAGAAAGAGGGACAGAGGCAGGGATCAGGAGGCAGATGAGACTCCATCTGGACCACATGGTATGTTTTTATTCTTCTTGCATATTCCATTACAGCAGCACAATCTAGCAGCTCTTAGTATTGACAAATATGTATTGAAATGTGTTGCTTCACAGGTCCCCTTTAGCTCTCGGAAGAGATGGGTGATGTCATTTGTGTACTTCATTATAACTAAGTACTTTTACTGTAGGCTACTTACAGTAAGCAGAATTCTAGGGTATCAAAAGTATTTTCTGCTGTTTTATACTATATTTTAGTTTGTTGGTCTGAACACCTTGTTTCTCTTGTGCATTAAGAACACTTGTGTTAGGGCATGATTTAACAATAAATAGGTTATATACAGTATAAAATACCACATACTGCCACCCTGGCATGACCTCTTGCCCCCCCCTTGCCACCCCATGTAAAATGTTCTAGAACCGCCACTGCGTATATATATATAAGTGGATCATCGTGGATAATATTGGATGATAGCAGGTATAGATCACATCTGCTATCATCCTCCATGTCACTAGGTGACGCTCTCGATCCTCAATGTGAAGCCGTCACGCTCTCTTGGTTTACTGTCACATGACCGGAAGTGCATTTTCAAAACAAAGGACCACAGATTGCAGCGGCACACTAGCAGCTGTCTCACTATGACTTCTGTTGTTTTCTTGCTTTTAGCTGACATTTTTCACCGGAATTAACAGAAACCTTGTAGTTGTTGGTGTTTTATTCCCTCCAACATGGCGGGTCCGCTGCTGGAGTTTGAGACGGAGATGTTCCTCAGTCTGTTTGAGGTTGACGGGCTGCTGGTGGCGGCGGAGGGCATGGGGATAGACCGCATCCTGCTGCAGTTCATGCGGGTTTACTCCGAGCAGGGCAGCCTGGTCCTGCTACTGAACACCACCACACCTGAGCAGGTGAGCAGGGAGATCACGTGTGTTATATGAAGGCTTCTGAAGAAGCCAGGTGCTCAGTACGCGAATTAAGGCGCCACTACGGAAGCTCATGAGGGACGTTTCTTAAATGACACTTGAATAATATTATGATTTTTCCATTTTACAGCTGGTTAAATGCCGTTTTCATTTGAACTTTTTTTTTAAATGTGTTTGAATTGCTTGTGTTGCACCATTTTCAAATGTCAATAGTCCATCGTACAACAGCCTAAGTCTTTATAAATCCAATGTCATGTTTTAATATTGCTTGCACAAATTGGAAAATCAGTAAATTACTTTGTCTTTTTTTTAGCCTCATAGCATTTACTTTTTTATATTTGAATTGTATTTTAATGTTGTCAACTGTAAAGCCAGGTATGACCCTGAAAGTGAACTGTGTAACATACCTTTCACAAATCATATAACTACCATATAAGTATGTGAGAATGAAAATGCTTGTGGTAAATTCTAATACCATTATGGAATCACATTTTTAAGTTTACATTATAATTGTATAATCTAGGCAAGATAACTTTAAGTAGAACAGTCTTATAGTATGACTCCTGGGTACAGATTTTAGATACTTTTTGCTGCAAATAACATTCAAATTCAAATCCGAAGGTTTCATTGTCATATGCACAAAAGCTACAGTGCAGAAATGGCAATGAAATTCTTCTGACCCGAGTTCCTCCATGTGAAGATGAACAAAATGCTCTCTCTCTCTCTCAGGAGTATTTCACAGAGCAGCTGCGAGCGGAGGGTGTGACCCACCTGCCGAGGACGGTGACCAGCGACGTGCAGAGCGCTGAGAGATACAACGTGTACACCGAGGGGGGGGTGCTGTTCGTCACCAGCAGGATCCTGGTGGTCGACTTCCTCACCGACCGCGTCCCCGCTCATCTGATCTCAGGTCAGATCACGGATACAATGATTGTTTGATACATAGTATGATGTTATTGATCAAAGATTCAAAGGTTTTATTGTCATATGCACAAAGCTACAGTGTAGAAATGGCAATGAAATTCTTCTGACCTGAGCTCCTCCAACAATGCAACATATATAATAAAATACAAAAATACAAAATAAAAAGTAGCGCAAAAAGTCTATATGCATGTCAATAATATTAGTTATTTCTGAACATATTAATAATAATAATAATACATTTTATTTTAGGCGCCTGTCATGACACCCAAGGACACCGTACAATTTGTTAAAAAAGAAAACGCTAATAGGCAACAGAACATGATAAAAACACAAACAGGAAATCATGGAGGAGACAATCAAGTGGACTCAAATGAAACTTATAATGGTGAGCACTACAGTGAGTAGGCAGATCTGAACAGGTGGGTTTTTAATCGGGATTTGAATATGGTGATTGTGTCTGACTGTCGGATGTGCGGGGGGAGGGAGTTCCAGAGTCTGGGAGCAGTGCAGCTAAAAGCCCGAGCACCCATGGTGTGGGGTGGGGACGGTTAGCAGACCAGCAGAGGAGCGGAGGGAGCGAGACGGGGTGTACTCCTGAAGAAGGTCAGCCAGATAGGGGGGGGGGAGGCAGGTTATGTAGGGCTTTGTAAGTGAGCAGTAGGTTTTTGAAGTTGATGCGGGATTGAACAGGGAGCCATATTAGTTATTTCTAAACATGGAACAATTGTTGTAATTTATTTGCATTCTAGACCATAATGGTGGTTATTACTATCTCTTTGACCTGTGTTTAATTATATATTTTTTATGGCTTTATTGTAGAATTAGTAGTTGATTAAAAAATATATATTTGTTTCATGAATTTACTGTTTTTTTTGGTGTTGATTTTCAAGATTTTTGGGGGAAATTATGCCTTTCTTCTCCTAACATTCCCCGCTTTGTCCCTGTAAATCTACGTAATTGTGTAAAGGCACTTTAAATGTTAAGTATAAAGGTGAATGTACCATATATAGACTACTAAACATTTTAAATGATGCCGTATTTATTGATGGGTGTTACAACATTTTAAGGGTTTTATATTGTTTCGGCCTCTCTTTAACTACACTGTAGCTACTGTGCTCATGATAATTATTAAACCCTTGAATCCTGTGGTCTCATAGCAAACAGAAACCCAGACTAACATGCACACTCTCTCTCTCTGAATCTCGCCCTCAGGCATCCTGGTGTATCGTGCTCATACAATCATCGAGTCGTGTCAGGAGGCCTTCATCCTCCGTTTGTTCAGACAGAAGAACAAGACGGGCTTCATTAAAGCGTTCACTGACAAGGCCACGTCCTTCTCCTCTGGATTCTGCCAGGTGGAGCGTGTGATGAGGAACCTCTTCGTCAAGAAGCTCTACCTGTGGCCCAGGTATGAGACCTATTTCACTGCACATTTAGACACTTCATCGCATGAAAAGCACATATGAGATCAGATAAGATGGAACTTCATTTATCCCCTTGGGGAAATGCAGGCGTTTATAGCAGCAACAGGGTCAGAGTTAAAAACAGGATTCACACAAGATACAAATAAAGACAAAATAGAATCAAAAAATTAAAATAATAATACCAAATGTTTTTAAAATAAAGTGATAAAGTGTGTCTGTGTGTATTCAATGTCTGGGAGATTTCTGTATTATTGATATTATTTTTAGCGTACATACAGTATGTATTCTGCATTTTGTAAGTAGTCTGTTGTCTAATTTTTATTTTTGTTATGTACTTTTAGTTATTTTTTCATTTTTTTAAAAAGAAAATATTTTGTGCTTTTGGTTGTACATGTTGTGTATTAATCTCAATAGAAATGTGATCACAATTTGTTTTAATAAAGTGATAAAGTAACTGTTGAAACAAGATATCACAGTATATAATAATAATAATCTGTAACCTGCTGTATTCAACAAGTTTCAAGCGTCAGTGAACACAGCGCTGGACAGACACAAGCCGGAGGTGGTGGAGCTCAACGTGTCGCTGACTCCGGCCATGAGGGCCATCCAGAGCTCCATCCTGGACATCATGAGCGCCTGCCTGAAGGAGCTGAAGCGCTACAACCCCAGCCTGGAGGCCGAGGACCTCTCCCTGGAGAACACGCTGGGAAACGCCTTCGAAAAGGTATTTAAATGGAGTTGGATGTTGAAATGAAGAGTCTGCTTGTTGTTTATTTAGAAAGCCAAATGTAACCTAAAACAAGAAAACTAAACAGGCTTTTTTAAACATACTCTCTCCAGTACAGCTTAGCTCTGAGTGTTAGCGATGCTTGCTAATGTAAACAAAGACCATGTTACGCCCAAAACACGTCACTCATTGTCTCTCATTCGGTACGGAGGAAAAGAGAGAGGGTTTTGTTTTCTGACACTTTGTTAGTTCCCTGACACACCGGGGACACATATTTATAAAAGACATCAAAAATGCATTTTGCATGATAGGTGACCTTTAAAGACAGTAAAAAACGACTTACTGTACATTCAACTATTAAATCAATCAGCTATCTCAGGACATTGAGGCTATACATTTACAGTGGAGGAAACAAGTATTTAACCTCCTTCAGATTTTGTAAGTTTACCAACTTATTTTACAACTAAAAGCTCTTTTCAAATGAAGAGGAGGTTGTAACCGAGGCTCTGTGTCTGTCTCCCTCTCCTCCCTCTCCTTCCTCCTCCTTCCTGCTCTCAGACACAGCCAGCTCCACTCTGCGTGTCCTGGTTCCTCCCCTTCAGATCCACACTGAGGAGGATGGGTGTAACCAACATGTGGGTAAAGAACAAGAGCTGATAGGCCACATTCACCACCCACACACATCCTGTTCAGATAACCTGTCACACTAGTTTCAGCTCTCAGGAAGTGAAACTCACACACTCGCTGCTACTGAAAGGTGAAATGGCGCAGAAAGGAGTTCAGCTGGAGCGGGAAACCTTATCTTGTTCGATCTGTCTGGATCTACTGAAGGATCCGGTGACGACTACCTGTGGACACAGCTACTGCATGAAGTGTATTAAAGGCTTCTGGGACGGAGAGGATGAGAAGAAGATCCACAGCTGCCCTCAGTGTAGGCAGAGCTTCACACCGAGGCCTGTCCTGCTGAAGAACACCATGTTAGCAGCTTTAGTGGAGGAGCTGAAGAAGACTGGACCCCCACCTGCTCCTGCTGATCTCTGCTATGCTGGAGCTGAAGATGTGGCCTGTGATGTCTGCACTGGGAGGAAACTGAGAGCATGTAAGTCCTGTCTGCAGTGTGTGGCCTCTTACTGTGACCAACACCTCCAGCCTCATTATGACGCAGCTCCATTAAAAAAACACAAGCTGGTGGAGCCCTCCAAGAAGCTCCAGGAGAACATCTGCTCTCGTCACGACGAGGTGATGAAGATGTTCTGCCGCACTGATCAGCAGTGTATCTGTTTAATCTGCACTATGGATGACCATAAGGGCCACGACACGGTGTCAGCTGCAGGAGAGAGGACTGAGAGGCAGAGAGAGCTGGAGGGGAGTCGACTAAACATCCAGCAGAGAATCCAGGACGGAGAGAAGGAGGTGAAGCTGCTTCAGCAGGAGGTGGAGGCCGTCAATGGCTCTGCTGATAAAGCAGTGGAGGACAGTGAGAAGACGTTCACTGAGCTGATCCGTCTCATGGAGAAAAGAAGCTCTGATGTGAAGCAGCAGCTCAGATCCCAGCAGAAGAGAGAAGTGAGTCGGGTCAAAGAGCTTCAGGAGAAGCTGGAGCAGGAGATCTCTGAGCTGAAGAGGAGAGACGCTGAGCTGAAGCTGCTGTCTCACACAGAGGATCACAACCAGTTTCTGCACAGCTACCCCTCACTGCCAGCCCTCAGTGAACCTACACACTCCTCCAGCATCAACATCCGTCCTCTGAGCTACTTTGAGGACGTGACGGCGGCCCTGTCAGCAGTCAGAGACAAACTACAGGACGTCCTGAGAGAGGAATGGACAAACGTCTCACCGACTGAGGTGGAGGTTTTACTGTCAGCAGCAGAGCCCACCACCAGAGCTGGGTTCTTACAATATTCACAGGAGATCACTCTGGATCCAAACACAGCACACACACGGCTGTTATTATCTGAGGGGAGCAGAAAAGCAACATTCATGAAACAATCACAGTCTTATTCTAGTCACCCAGACAGATTCACTTGTTATGCTCAGGTCCTGAGTAGAGAGAGTCTGACTGGACGTTGTTACTGGGAGGTGGAGCGGAGAGGGGGAGAAGTTAGTGTAGCAGTCGCATACAAGAATATCAGCAGAGCAGGGGAAGGTTTATTTGGATTCAATGACAAATCTTGGTCCTTAGATTGTAACCAAAACAGATATTCATTTCGTTACAACAGTATCAACACTCCCGTCTCAGATCCTCAGTCCTCCAGAGTAGGAGTGTACCTGGATCACAGAGCAGGTGTTCTGTCCTTCTACAGCGTCTCTGAAACCATGACTCTCCTCCACAGAGTGCAGACCACATTCACTCAGCCGCTACATGCTGGAGTTCGGCCTTATAATTATGGAGACACTGCTGAGTTGTGTAAACTCAAATAGCCTGAAGTCATTGGAGGAACTCTTCTACTTCTTAAACTCACCGTGTGTCCATCAGAGCTGATTGTTCATGTCTTCACTGTGCAGAGATCAGCTGTCAATCAAACATGATGGGATGTGCTTCAACATCTCCTCATGAGTTGTTCTGTAAAGGTTGGACTTTCTTCCGGCTCCTTCCTGTGTCTGTGTAGCCATGGAGGCTGTCACTGCTCAGGAGGATCCTTGTTCACCTGAACTGATATGTAAACTTTGCTCTAAATATGTGTTGGATATTTCTTTTGATTCATGTTGTTGTTTCTCTTGTAGTGCACGAGTCTTCAGAGAGAAAGCAGCAGAGCTTCTTTTATTCTACACATTTTATTCTGCCCACTTTCTAAAACAATAGAGGCATTTATAATCACATGTATTATTTTGACAGATGAAATGTTATTGTTGCCCAAATTAACAAACAAATGAGTTCCCAGATGGTTCTAACACTTATTTCATCATAACATGTTTATTTAAAATGATATTACTTACTGTCATGATCATAATCAATAAGTACATCATTCATTATTCTCCTGTAAATAGCTTAGAGTCTTTGCTTGGGAAATAAAATGTTTTTTTTTTGCAGACTAATTGTTGTTGTTGTTGTTGTCCAAATAGAAAGTGGGTACTCTGATGTTTTATAGAACATAACTTATCATGATAATAATCAATAAGGAAATCATGTATGATTCTGTTTGAAATAGCTGAGATGAAACACATGGTGTGGATAAAGTGAAACTGATCATGAAATCATTGAACAGACTTTACTGATGGGATGTGTGATCAAATTAAATGTTTAGATCATTAATAAAGGTTTGTCTTTCAAAAACAAAAACAGGATGTTCTTCTTGTGTTATGTCCAAGGTGCCATACGAAGCTGATGGAGAACATGTGGAAGTGATCTGAGACTAAATGAAGCTCAGCGCAAGTTCAACCAGGAAGACCGTCTTTACTCATTCATTTACTATTTACATGTTACTACTCTCTCTCTCCTCTCAATAAGTGATCGGGGGCGTCACTCCCCAGCTAACACCTTGTTTCTCTTGTGCATTAAGAACACTTGTATTAGGGCATGATTTAACAATAAATAGGTTATATACAGTATAAAATACCACGTACTGCCACCCTGGCATGACCCTTTGCCACCCCATGTAAAATGTTCTAGAACCGCCACTGCGTATATATATATAAGTGGATCATAGTGGATGATATTGGATGATAGCAGGTATGGATCACATCTGCTATCATCCTCCATGTCACGAGATGACGCTCTCGATCCTCAATGTGAAGCCGTCACGCTCTCTTGGTTTACTGTCACATGACCGGAAGTGCATTTTAAAAACAAAGGACCACAGATTGCAGCGGCACCAAGCAGCTGTCTCACGATGACTTCTGTTGCCTTCTTGCTTTTAGCTGACATTTTTCACCGGAATTAACAGAAACCTTGTAGTTGTTGGTGTTTTATTCCCTCCAACATGGCGGGTCCGCTGCTGGAGTTTGAGACGGAGATGTTCCTCAGTCTGTTTGAGGTTGACGGGCTGCTGGTGGCGGCGGAGGGCATGGGGATAGACCGCATCCTGCTGCAGTTCATGCGGGTTTACTCCGAGCAGGGCAGCCTGGTCCTGCTGCTGAACACCACCACACCTGAGCAGGTGAGCAGGGAGATCACGTGTGTTATGAAGGCTTCTGAAGGAGCCAGGTGCTCAGTACGCGAATTAAGGCGCCACTACGGAAGCTCATGAGGGACGTTTCTTAAATGACACTTGAATAATATTATGATTGTTCCATTTTACAGCTGGTTAAATGCCGTTTTCATTTGAACTATTTGTTTAATGTGTTTGAATTGCTTGTGTTGCACCATTTTCAAATGTCAATAGTCCATCGTACAGCAGCCTAAGTCTTTATAAATCCAATGTCATGTTTTAATATTGCTTGCACAAATTGGAAAATCAGTAAATGACTTTTGAGCCTCATAGCATTTACTTTTTTATATTTGAATTGCATTTTAATGTTGTCAACTGTAAAGCCAGGTATGACCCTGAAAGTGAACTGTGTAACATACCTTTCACAAGTCATATAACTACCATATAAGTAAGTGAGAATGAAAATGCTTGTGGTAAATTCTAATACCATTATGGAATCACATTTTTAACTTGACATTATAATTGTATAATCTAGGCAAGATAACTTTAAGTAGAACAGTTTTATAATATGACTCCTGGGTACAGATGTTAGATACTTTTTGCTGCACTCTGCACATAAGCTACAGTGCAGAAATGGCAATGAAATTCTTCTGACCCGAGCTCCTCCATGTGAAGATGAACAAAATGCTCTCTCTCTCTCTCAGGAGTATTTCACAGAGCAGCTGCGAGCGGAGGGTGTGACCCACCTGCCGAGGACGGTGACCAGCGACGTGCAGAGCGCTGAGAGATACAACGTGTACACCGAGGGGGGGGTGCTGTTCGTCACCAGCAGGATCCTGGTGGTCGACTTCCTCACCGACCGCGTCCCCGCTCATCTGATCTCAGGTCAGATCATGGATACAATGATATTTTGTTACATAGTATGATGTTATTGATCAAAGATTCAAAGGTTTTATTGCCATATGCACAAAGCTACAGTGTAGAAATGGCAATGAAATTCTTCTGACCTGAGCTCCTCCAACAATGCAACATGTATAATAAAATACAAAAATACAAAATAAAAAGTAGCGCAAAAAGTCTATATACATGTCAATAATATTAGTTATTTCTGAACATATTAGTTATTTCTAAACATGGAACAATTGTTGTCATTTATTTGCATTCTAGACCATAATGGTGGTTATTACTATCTCTTTGACCTGTGTTTAATTATATTTTTTTTATGGCTTTATTGTAGAATTAGTAATTGATTAAAAAATATAAATTTGTTTCATGAATTTGCTGGTTATTTATGGGTTTTTTTGTGTTAATTTCTACTGTGCACATGAGAATTAAACCTTTGAATCCTGTGGTCTCATAGCAAACAGAAACCCAGACTAACATGCACACTCTCTCTCTCTGCATCTCGCCCTCAGGCATCCTGGTGTATCGTGCTCATACAATCATCGAGTCGTGTCAGGAGGCCTTCATCCTCCGTTTGTTCAGACAGAAGAACAAGACGGGCTTCATTAAAGCGTTCACTGACAAGGCCACGTCCTTCTCCTCCGGATTCTGCCAGGTGGAGCGTGTGATGAGGAACCTCTTCGTCAAGAAGCTCTACCTGTGGCCCAGGTATGAGACCTATTTCACTGCACATTTAGACACTTCATCGCATGAAAAGCACATATGAGATCAGATAAGATGGAACTTCATGTATCCCCTTGGGGAAATGCAGGCGTTTATAGCAGCAACAGGGTCAGAGTTAAAAACAGGATTCACACAAGGTACAAATAAAGACAAAATAGAATAAAAAAATTTAAATAATAATACCAAATGTTTTTAAAATAAAGTGTGTCTGTGTGTATTCAATGTCTGGGAGATTTCTGTATTGTTATTATTTTTAGCGTAAATACAGTATGTATTCTGCATTTTGTAAGTAGTCTGTTGTCTAATTTTTATTTTTGTTATGTACTTTTAGTTATTTTTTCATTTTTTTTAAAAGAAAATATTTTGTGCTTTTGGTTGTACATGTTGTGTATTCATCTCAATAAAAATGTGATCACAATTTGTTTTAATAAAGTGATAAAGTAACTGTTGAAACAAGATATCACAGTATATAATAATAATCTGTAACCTGCTGTATTCAACAGGTTTCAAGCGTCAGTGAACACAGCGCTGGACAGACACAAGCCGGAGGTGGTAGAGCTCAACGTGTCTCTGACTCCGGCCATGAGGGCCATCCAGAGCTCCATCCTGGACATCATGAGCGCCTGCCTGAAGGAGCTGAAGCGCTACAACCCCAGCCTGGAGGCCGAGGACCTCTCCCTGGAGAACACGCTGGGAAACGCCTTCGAAAAGGTATTTAAATGGAGTTGGATGTTGAAATGAAAAGTCTGCTTGTTGTTTATTTAGAAAGCCAAATGTAACCTAAAACAAGAAAATGAAACAGGCTTTTTTAAACATACTCTCTCCAGTACAGCTTAGCTCTGAGTGTTAGCGATGCTTGCTAATGTAAACAAAGACCATATTACGCCCAAAACACGTCACGCATTGTCTCTCACGGAGGAAAAGAGAGAGGGTTTTGTTTTCTGACACTTGGTTAGTTCCCTGACACACCGGGGACACATATTTATAAAAGACATCAAAAATGCATTTTGCATGATAGGTGACCTTTAAAGACAGCAAACATGGCATTCTTATGACAGGTGTTTTATCTGATTAGGTGTCTAATTTGGAAAGCTGAGTTTCCTGTATTTGAGGTTTGGTTGTGTTTGGCTTACTCTTATCCAGACGATCCGTCACTACCTGGACCCCCTGTGGCACCAGCTTGGCTCAAAGACCAAGGCTCTGGTCCAGGACCTGAAGGTGCTGAGGGTGCTGCTGCTCTACCTCACCCAGTACGACTGCGTCACCTTCCTCAATCTGCTCGAGTCTCTGCGCTCCAGCCAGAAGAACTTTGGATCCAACTCAGGTAAACTACATCTTAATTTGAAATACTGTGGGTGAATATTGAACCTAATATTTGTGATTAACCCTTGTGTTGTGTTCAAAAGCTGTTACCGTTCATGGTGCTCGCGGGTCAATTTTGACCCATGATTTATCTCAGTCCAAAACACAAAAGAAAAATGACTATCATCCAATATTGTTTTAACTCCATCATAACTAACTTATAATGCATTCATAACCGTACAATCCTGTTGTAATGTAATGTTATGGCCCCAAAACACATTACACCACATATTGCACACGTGCATGTGTGTGTTCAGGTTCAAGTGTTAGTGTACATATTCTTTGAGAAAGGTGGAGTTCCTGTGGAGGAAGGGGAGACCAGGTGCATGTTGCGAAAAATTATTGTTACAGTGTATGAAGGGGGGGGGGAGGGGTGTCTAAAGTCAAAGATGAATCTTGATTGGGCCAAATTTGACCTCGAGTCACCCACAACAATTCTGCTGGGTCTCCCCCGACCCGAACACCAAATTATACACTTTTTTTTATACAAGAGACCTTCAGACTTGGCTAAAATGGTCAAAATCAGTTTTGTAGTGTTTATATATCTGTGGTGGAGGATATCATGAAGCCTTGTTCTGATACAAAAAACTAGAGCGTAGTTATTATATAATTTTAACTTGAAACGGGTCACGGGAGACCCGAACACAACATAAGGGTTAAGAGATTTGTATGCATGTCTTTGGCTCTTTTCTGCTGTAACAATGTACATTCCCCCTCTGTGGGACTAATAATGGTATTCTGGTTCTGGTTCTGGTTCTGATTCAGCACCTTCATCTGAGTTTCGTTTGTTTATGCTACCATCAGGGTGGTTATTCCTCGACTCCAGTACCTCCATGTTTATGAACACCAGGGGAAGAGTGTACCGCTACCCAGAGAGCAAGAAGAAAGTCAAACTGGGAGTGGAGGCAGAGAAACCAAAGCCATCCTCAGGTACCTGACATCTGCATCCTTCTCTGCTTGCATGTGTATTTATTAGATTGCTAAACGCTCACATTATGTTTTTGTTTCAGAGGTGAAACGGCAACTGGTGCTGGAGAAGAGCCCGAAGTGGGAGGCTCTGACCGAAGTACTGCAGGAGATCGAGAAGGAGAACAAGAGCTCTGAACATGAACCAGGTCAGAGTGATATACAGGTCCATTATGTCAACACTGCACCTCATTTTCTATCATTTAGATTAGCATATAATGTACTACTTTTACAGAATTTCATAGAAACCACGTTTTAGTTTCCCAAAGGCGTTTTTGGTAATCATTGAAATGAATCTACATAGGAAAAGCATATACGAAAATGAAATCTACAATTCTATTTTTAATATACATCCAGCAGAAAGGCCAGC